CCCCCCACCCATTCGAAAATGCTGGGTACGCCACTGCTTTAATAAGTACGATACAACTTAAGACTGTTATAGGTAATTCTATTTTGTATAATATGTACCTATTCATTAATATATATAGGTACTGATATACAACATCGTATAAAGCAATTAAAATGTTACTATTTTATCAATGGTAAATAATTAAATAAATTTTCTATGAAGGCATAAACAATTTTCCATTGTTATTTATTCATTTGGAAGTTTAATAAACTAATTAATTAATAATTACCAATAACATAAAATATGCATAATTGTATATTATAACTAACAATGTATAAATATTTCTTTGAAAATATAAATAAATAACAACAATATTTTAATTGCTTTCATATGCCAATTTATACACGTTTATTATAGTAAAATAAAGTTGTACTTATAATATTAACTGACAATTGTACATTTGTAATCAGTAATCACCACATTATTATAATTTATAAAAAATATGTATTATTATTATAGGTTGTGTAAACTTTAGTATTACAGTTTAATAATATACGTTTAGAATTACGAGTGATATATAGGTAATATACCCACGCAAAACTTTTTTTTATTATGTATAGCTTTTACCTAATTATTTTAATAAATGTTTTATTTATTAGTTCTATAGACAAATAATTTTAATAATTTATCAATAATTTTAAATCTTTTCATCGATAGTAAATACTAAATACTAAATAGATTTTTTTTTTTAAATAAATTATTGTGCCACAACCAATAATAATATTTGTTTAATTGCCACGTGTCACAGATATGTGTATAGCTATTTAATTCCTTATGTAGTTTGTTTTGTTTTCATTCTACACTGCGAGTAAAGTCGGTGGTATCTACGAGTACTATAGGTACTTAATATATTCGTGGGGACTAAGTCGGTCAAGAATTAATAAGATGAAGAATTTATAAAGACGTAATAAATAAGTAATAACCACGAATAACACATTAGTGCAAAACCAATAATAAGTGTTCATGTGTAGACTGTAGACTATAGACACATAATACTTTATACTATATATTTATATAAGACATAATAATACGTAGTATAGTAATGAAATAATATTACGGTATTGTCGTGCACTCGTGCCAGTGAAATAATTACTTTTGCATCACTTGTTTACATAAAGATAAATATAAACAAATATCGCATTGATTTGTGGAACACCAAATGGCACACGCGCACACGACCACGGAAAATAAGTTAAGAGAAATTAAGCACTCTGTTGAACTCTGGCCGAAATAGACTGATCTAAACAGAAAAATTGAGGTAATTTTTAATCGACTTAGAATAGGCCACACAAAATTCACACATGGACACCTTATGACAAAGACAGATCCACCCCTTTGCGCAACATGCAATGAAAACTACTCCATCAAACAAATCATATTCTACTACCCAAACTCCAATGAAGTTAGGAAAGAGAAAGACTTCGACATCCCTGAAAACCTGTACCAAGCAATTGGTCCATTTTCTAACTATCAAAACATAAATTTATATTTAAAAAAATTGAATTGTACAATAACATATTATAATAATGTTAAAATTTAATACTTTTGTTGAAGCAAACAACCTATTATGTATTAGATATTTAACCATTAAAAAAAAAATATTACGGTACATATTATTGTGGACTTTTGTCGAACGATGCGCCTGAAACTATAATATTATACATATACCTATTACCTATATTGGAAAGTGTCCCTCCAATCACCATATAATATATAAATAACCTATAAAGCTTTTTATGTTATATGCATCTGTTTATAACGGTACCTAAATAAGTATCTTAGTATATACTATAATTTTACGTATATATATATAGGATAGGTATAAAAGTGTATAACCAAATATAATTTGTATTTTTGCAAGGAATGTTCGTAGGTACCTACTTATACGTATTTCGAGTATACTTCGTCGCTAATTGCAATACATTCACCATAAACGCGCGTCTGCATTGATCACGTGTGCTATTGTCGTCATTTGTTTGCATTTGAGAATTCTCTCATTCGGTGTATAATGTACTAGGTATACGATACACACACACATTCACTTGTATATGAAAAAAATATA